ATGGCACACATTGTACATACTTTTGACACTTTCAAGTGCTGTTGAAAGGAAAACAAATGTGTGAAAATGTTTTTAAAAATCCATATTTTGCTTTCAGAAAATCATGCCTTAATTATCAGCAGTCAGCAAGACAAACATGACTATGAGGAAAAATCTCCTTAAGACGTTCAGTTAATAAGACAAAATAAAACCTTAAAAGAAACCAGACTTATATGCTTTCATTGATTTAGAGCAACACAATAGGTGAGTAAATGATGACAGAATTTTTCATTTTGGGTGAACTATTGCTTTAAAGTTCAAAACTGGTAACTGGAAGGTTTCTGGTTCAATCCCTGCAAGCTCAAGCCATCATTATTTTGCCCTTTGAGAAAGGCACTTAACCCCAGGGGCCAAGTCTCTAATAAGTGTGCAGTATGTCACTTTGGATAATCATCTACTTAATGACTACTTACTAATGCAAGTATGTGTGTTCTTCTCTGTGTCTGCTCTTGATCTCCAGGCCGAGTCAGAGGGATTTTCCCATTTCCACCTCTACGTGTGCGCAGCCTTCCTCATCAAATGGCGCAAAGAGATCCTCTCCATGTTGGACTTTCAGGTACCGACAATCTCCCGCATGTCGCGTGTGTCACGGCCTCTGAGCGCCGTGCAGAAACGTGTGTCGTTTACATGTGACCGTCTGCGCTTCCCACACATGCATGCATCACTGAAAAGCATCCCGGCCGTCACTTACCCCGAGACTATCGGAATAATTGGCCCTCCAGTGGAGCAGCATCGGCTGTAACCAAATTTCACAGGCCTGCAGATTCACCACACCTCAGCGCCCTCTAAACGAGAACGCTCTGTTATTCGCCCCCCATTCTCGCTCTTTCACGCTCTCTTTCGAAGGATCTCCACGCCTCAGCTCCATCTTTGATTCTCTCGTTTATTATTTGGCTCATTGTCAGGTCGGGTAAAGAAGAATTTGATGAACCGTCATTTGAGCATGTGTTTATACTTGGGTTGTCAATGGATTAAATTTATCGCATTTAATCATCTGTGGTTCTCATGTTCACATGATCACTTTCAGAAATGAGCTTTTTTCTGATTGTAAAAACGACATAACATTTTTAAGACAAATTTTCTTATTATGTCTTATATGTTAAGAATTTTCACATGATCACTATCACAGATGTTCTTATTTGATTTTTAATATTAGTAATTATATATAAATAAAAACAATCCATAATATTTTATTAAATATGAATCATATTAATATTAAAATATTATTAATAATAATTATTACTAAGAATATTTCAAGATGTTATATTAAGATAATATTTTAATATTTTGTGTAAATAATCTTTTATTAAATATTTTATATTGTAATAATCACATTTTAATGACATATTGGTTTTGAATTTTCAGATTCAAACACTTTTTAAGATTTTTTTTATTTTTTTCATCCGATTTAAATTAGATTTTGCATTTCCGAATTTAATGTAGTCTGTTTTTTAGACCCCAATATATAATACTTTTCTCATCAAATATCAAAGCTGTTTTGTAGATGTTGCTACAGTCTTTTGGTGTTTTAACCGCACATAAAATAGCAAGTTGACAGTGAGTTTCATTTGTAGGTGATAATTCAGACTTGTTGAGCTTTGATAGTAATTCATTTTCAGTATACAAAGGCTGCAAATGTCCCATCTGGATTTGATTTATAAATAGATTAGCCACTATTGATGTGTTTCTCCATTATTTACTGATAAATTAGCTTCGGTTTACAGGATTATTGTTCCTGAGAATTGAACAAAGACACCTGTGCTTTTGACAATTCAGAGGGTGCTTATAAATCACACAAACCATTGTCATGTAGAATTAAGTTAATGCCATAATGGTTTTAAGTAAATGTAACGGCGTTAAACATTTGTTAGTCTGTTTAGTCAGTTTATATTCATGCACACACATGTGATGTAATGCCAACCTGTTCAGTCTATATATATATATAAATATATATAGGCTGTTGTGATGAGCACCAATTTTTAACCCAGCTAGTACATTAAGCTCAAAGGCGCTCTGGTTAGCAACTTGAAAATCAATGATTTTCAGCTTCATGCTACTGCGCTAAAACTCCCAGACCGAAGAACCTGAGATCTGATCTTATACAGAGTGAAGCTGATTACGATAGATCTGCTCTTGTGCACTTATAGCAGCTGTAGGTGGCGGAAAGCCCACACACACTCGTGCGCATACACGCGCTAAATGCACAAGCAGCGACCTAAGAGCAGCGCCAATCGTGAATCACATTATCCTAACATTATAATCATGCCGTGACTACAAGCATTTCCAGTTCAGAAGAGTAAAAATGCAAAGCTACTAAATGATCTAGTTTTATGAAATGTGTTTTTATGTCTTTTCAGAGCCTGCTAATGCTCCTGCAGAACCTTCCCACAATACACTGGGGCAACGAAGAGGTGGGTTTGCTACTGGCAGAGGCCTACAGACTCAAATACATGTTCGCTGACGCTCCAAGCCACTACAAGAGATGAGAACCCGTAAGCTGACCACAGCGTGACCCTGCAAAACCCAGACGATGATCTGACCTAACAACGGGATCGGTCCAAACGCCGCTTCTTTGCTCGGTTTAATCCGACACAGCGAAGAAAGAGCTCACCAATTTTCTCCAATGACGTCAAATTTGTGTCATCGTCTGTTACAATTCACGATCAAGAACAAGACGACGTAAACAACCACGGACAAAACTAATATTTTGGAAAAAAACTCCCAGAGATCTTGATGGCTGACAGTTCAATTTGCCTGCTGATGACTTCAGAAGATAACTGACAGTGAGATGCCAAGAGCTGAGGAACAGAAAGCGCTTACGTAAACGTATCAAACTAAAAACAAAAGGACGTGGCATCCTATGCTTCCCCGCATCTTCCTCTATTTGTTACCTCCACCCCTCGTTTTTATTTCTTGGCAGATCTTCATTTTTTTTGTCCCCCCCTCGCCGATATTCTCGTGTTTTGTGTTATTAGACCATAATGTGATCTCCTCGGCCCCTTTGCTCATTGCCACATTGATTGTACCCTGCACAGGTGTACACGGGTCGATTCCTGTCCGTAATCACTCCGTGTTATTGAAGCTCTTCAATACATGAAACTATGGCAGTCATAAAGGGTCATTTCTCAAGGGGTGCGGCTGAGCGTTACGGATTCGAAGAATCAATATGCAACCGCCTGAGCGATGTGTTTGGGTTTTGTTTTGGGGTTTTTACGTTTTTTGTTTTTTTTAGAATTGTAAGACTGAATTTTAACAATCCTGAAACAGTGGCTTTGTATGCAAATGAAGCCCTTGCACAATTAGTTCATAGAAAATGAGAACTTTCAGAGCTTTAGTATTAGCATTCGACTACTACTGAGGTAACGTTTCAGCAAAGATGGCTGAATCAAACTGCGGTGAAATATTAATATGCTTTATAAAGAATGAATCAGTGTGATATGAGGTCAGCCTTAGAGACCACAGGACTGGAGTCGTGTTGAAAGGAAACTACTGACTTAGAAGCAGACTGAAGGTTTTTGGTTTTCACTGTGTGGTACTGAAGCGTGGATGGGGGCGATACCTGACAGACACGCTCCGAACGGCACAAATCATAATCTTAAATGCTAGAAAACAGCAGATGAAATCTCTGAAGCACTGTGAAAAGGCATCTACCATTCGCACGTGCATTCAATCTCCCAGGGCAACTGAATTATGCAGATGGATATGCTAATTAGATGTAGATGATCTGATTATCTAATTTTTCCCTTTGAACCCTCGTTTCACCTTTCGGTATATTTATTAACTGCAGGCTGATACATTTTGATTGGTGATTAATTGATCACCTTCTAAATCTTTCCAAAGTAGATGTGTGATCTTTATAAATCGGAGTGTAATGTGAAATGAATGACTCCGACTTATCAAAAGCAAATGTTTTCATTAAAATCTCTAATCATCTCGTATAACTTGGACCAAAACCCTGCATGGATAATCTGAATAATGAATTAAATAAGTGTCTTTCTGCTTTAATTATTGAAGCAAGTGGAGTGTATTGATTAGATGGAGGTGTCAGAATCAGTTAAACGTGATGCCGTTGAACTTCAAGCTCAGCGCTGTGGAGTTTGCTGATGTTAAACGCTTAAATAATGTACATTTTGTCAGCTCGCTGTGTTTATTCTTTCGTCAGTGACATTTGAAACCACCTGCGCCATACGGTCTCACTGTTACAATCTATTTTTGATGAGGCATTTGCGGTGCTGCGCTCTTATTTTGAGGTGAACTGGAATGTATTTTTTTCTTTCAGTGTATGTCTTAATGTCTTTGCATACATTACTGAGCTCATATTCACTCCAGAGATAATTAGTTTGCTCGTCACGCTTTAAAAGTGTGCTAATGAAGAGGTGACTTATTGTCGAGGGTTGAGATTGCTGACGATGGTGAGGAGATAGAGCAGTGATTATTCATGAGACGCGTTGAGTGGACTTACAGATTAACTCCCTGTTTTAGTCTTTTGAATGTCGTAAATGTCTGAAATGATTGTATTAATGAATCTTGTTCAAGTCAACATGAAATCAAAATGGACACCATTTACTTTATTAATACTTATTGCTGGTCTTATTGTGTGCGGTTCATACGGTTCATGCACACACTAATCTTGTGCCTCTGGACCAACTTTTTTTTTCTCCTGCTGTCACTTACAGAGAATCAGAAAGAATCGGAAAGAGCTTTATTGCCAAGTATGTTTGCACATACAAG